GTTCTCATCGGTTGACTCTTCAAAGTTAAACTTACTGACAATCAAATGTGCCGTTTACAATTTTAAACCCCACAAATCACCAGGACCGGAGAGTATATATCCAATATAGCTCCAAAATTCCCGGAACAAATACACAACCATGTTGCAGGTTGTTTTGATTTCTAAAGCAGGTAAAATAGTCTCTTAAAAGTTTCAATTAACTCTGTCCAATTACATTCTCATAATATATGTTGAAGGTTCTAGAAAGAACTATCGATGTTAAATTAAGGCGCGTCATTGATCCTGGACTTTGGGATCCCTCTCAAGACATCTAGGCTAAAGGGAAATTTACAGAATTAAGTTTCTATTCTCTCACTCACACCATTGAAAATTTTCTCAAATTGATGGAATAATTTTCTGGTTGCTTTTGTAGATATTGAAGGAACCTTTAACAATATACTTCCACAAGTCGCAATACAGGAACATTCTCACGTTTGGGCTGTTGATAATCGCGCTCATGTATGCTTATTAGTCCAACTTTAACTCCAGATTTTTGGGGTTTATCATAGTACATGACGGAGGGTATACAAGATAGTAATCACTAAGAGGCGCGTACTTTCTCTTCTCACACTCTAGGAATACTTGTGGTAAATTACATTGTTACTGGATGAAAACTCGAGGATTTTAAGACAATACTGTGCAATCATCGTTGACAATCATACAAACTGTTCCTGAGTTTTTTCTGTGCTCAACTTTTTAATAAAAGCTGGGAAAACTTAGTGGTATATAAGCAACTGTATGTAGGTTGGCTACGTTCGATTAAAAGGAAATCCAATACTCTCATTCAGTTTTCCCGTAGAGATACCACTCTTGTGGTATGTATACTCACAACTCATAACAGATGGCTTCTTACCATGGTGAAAGATTGTAACTTCCTCTCCATCATTATTGTCGTGGTTGTGGAAAGGAGTGCCTCTTATCTGCTTTGTTTTTACCCAGCGCATGCGCGACGCTGCCGCGACTAGGCCCCTTCTTTTTTGAGGATCTTGGTCAACTGTAATACGTTCCCTTGAATAGCATTTTAAGCTTTTCTAAAGGTTCATGGTGGGTTTTGAACTTCTGAGTTTTAAACTCTTATAAGGTTCCACAGTATAACGTAACTTAACTTAAATTCTGCAAGAAAAATTTCCTTAGTTTGAAGTATAGTTTCAAACTAATTTCGAAGTACTCGCTTAAAGTCACGCTCTCCTAGTCCAGTTTCGTTTGCAGTGTAAAGTGAGGAAATGCCATTAGAACTGAGAAAACATAAAAAACTATAATATCAGAATATCTAAAGAAAATATTAAAGATTTGAATATCAGTTTCAATTATTAAATTTGAGTGAGAAGATGCCTAATTTTCTATATTTAAATAATTATTTAAATTATTACGATTGCTCTTAAAAAATCGAGCTCGTCTACCTCTGTTCGCTTAAAATAAGTGGTAGCAGTATAAAGGGGGTTCAATATTACTTACATCTAGTTGTTAACTTTTTGGATTCGATTATAACTTTTAAATATGTGAAATAAATAATATTATCGAGTGATGTAACAATTATTATGTTGAAGCTGTTTTCAGCTAGTGCACTTAAGCGCTTATACTCTTTTTTAACTCGAGGTGTTTTCAAAACCCGTCTTTACACCTTGACTAGATTATTGTTTTACTTATGCGTTACTTGCATAGATATAACTATATACTTGTTGAAATACCTAGTACTACATTACTCTTTCCATAAAAATTTGATAATATTGTTTAAAACTGCTACCATTATTCATCCATATACGTACGAGTGTATTTTATTTTGCAAAGTTTAGTAAAAATATAAACTTTTAATAATTTCACTAATAAGAAATTCAAATATTCCTCAGCACACTAGAATCAAAAGTTTAAAAAATTTGAGAAGAATTTCATAAGTTTTTACAAAAATCTACTTAACCCCTTTGAGAAGTTTTCCTTGCAAAAGTTTTACCAACAAATTGTTCTTTGTCTTTAAGCAAAATTGCAATACAATAGCAACTTAAGTAAGCTGCTCCATGCCTCGGTCCCACTGAGCAGAGTAGGCTCAGTTGAGCCACTTTATGAGCAACTTATGCAAGATATTAACTTCTTCCTTAGCAAAGTAATGACAATGTAAGAATAAGGAATAAATGGGCATCAAGCCAACCAGGCACTGGCTATTGTGTTTTTGTTAACAACTTTAATTAGGAGTAGCAGCCAGTGGCTTTAGTGGCAACTAAAAGTTAAAACTAAAAACTGCCAAAAAAGGAAAGCTGGAGAAATCATTTAAATTGTTGTTGGTTTTATTGAAGTTGGAATAAGTTTTGCTTCTTTTTTAACTTATTTAATAGTGAAGTCGGTTAATTCTGTAGTAAATATGCATAAGCCATAAATGATTAAGTATTTAAATTTTAGCTACTCCCACTCACTGCCAGCTTAATTGTCCATCCGAAATCCTACTAATATTTGCTTTAATGTCTGCTCAAAACATGAAGTAAAAGGAAGGGAAAAATAAAATATATCTCCACCGACTTTCTTTAGTTGAGCTTACATTTATGAATACTTGTAAGTACCTTGGCATTACAACTTAAATAGGTTTTAGTAAATATTTTCGCTTGCGTTTATCTATAATATGTATATATTACATTGAAATGGGTAAAATACCATTAAGTCAAAAAGTTCACAAATTCTTAGCACGTTCACATCTTTAACGCCATATGTTAGACTTTTATTCATTTTGTCTTTTCCCTTCCCAACAATCTCGTGATCTCAAGAGAAGGGACTGCGTTCGTCTTTTCTTATTTTTTAATACAATTCACAGTTGCCCGCACATATTTGCCAACTTACATGCAGATTATGAGGCATATTTGTAATACTACTTTTTCACGCTTGCTATTTTACATGCCCCTAACATCCTAGTATCAAAATCATAACAGTCGCAATGTAGTAGATAATTTGTCTATGGGTATGTCCTTGTACGCTTCTTTGTGCAAACTCTCATCTACATGTGCCGCCACATGTCTTTAAGGAATGTATGGTACACACTTTAAACGTTCTCGTCGTTGAGTTTATGTACATATACCAACTGAATTTCAAACGACAAATAAATATAAAAAACATATTTTTATTTATACGTATCTATAACTTATATATAACATATTTTATATTTAATAAAAAAAATATAAATGTTATTATAGTAGAGTACACTATTCTATTTCCGCTATAGAAATTCCATAAGTATGAGAATATTTATAAAAATGTGATATGAATAAACTGGTCCGCCCAGATTTAAGAATAGTGTTTCAAAAGAATTAATAGATTCCTTAAATAAAAATATCATATAGAGCGGAATACATGTTTAGTTTGCCAAGTGTCTAGTTCATAATTAGGTTGTATAGAAACAAATAGTTTATATACTGAGTTCAGCAAGTATATTAATTGGGCCCGGTGTTCTCTACGATATTTAATGTCTGTCTCCGATGCCTATTTCGGATGTTGTAAATGCAGCAGAGTACGCAGATAATAAAGTAATCGTAACTTCCGTTGAAACTCCAACCGATTCATTAATCAAAAGGTCTGCCACCTGAAGCAATTTTCCATCTGAAGTAATGGTATGGGCAAGTAGTAGTATGGGCAGTTAATGCGATTTATTATCGGCAAAAAGTATTGGAAGTTGGTTTAGAGTTGTCAGCACGCAAACATTTCGGTCGTATATCATGGACGTTCCAACAAGGCTCGGCACCGTTCTCGTTCGTGTAAACCCAGAATGGTTAAAAAATCATGTTCCATACCTTATTTCATCCACACAGTGGCTTTTACATTAACCAGATGCAAATCCAATGGACAATTTTATCTGGGCCATTATGGAGAGCAAGGTGGGACTAAAAAATATGCCAGTATGCATGCGCTGAAGAAAGCAATTTTTCAGGGATGGGACAAAATACGGGAAAATCACATTCGTGAAGCATGCAACTTAAGGTGGTGAAGGCAAGGTCAAGGTGAAGGCAAAAGATTTCCACATTGAGCTAGAGTCAATAGATTCTGAAATTTTGATTATCTACACAAAATTTTGTAATTTGACTCAATAAAAAATAATTTCACACAAAAAACATGTGATCGCTTGAATAGGTAACACTTCAATCGCCTAGTCGTGTATTTAAACTTAATTGAAGTGTTGTAATTGTTAATAGGTAGTCCTATTGAATATTTGTTCAGAACAAATCGGAAACACAATATTCGGTAACCGGCAATCTAATTTTTGGTTATAATATCATTGATGCTTGAATTCAATTTCATCAATTTCAATATAGATTTTGACTGATTTTTGATGAATTCACTCACAGTTTTGATAAAATTGCAGTGATTACTGATTTGCCGTTGGTTAATATTTGCTTATCATTTATGTTCTGACGATCATTGCATGTGCTCAAACCAATTCTCGAAGCCAATTTTTCCACTCCGATTGAGACACCTCCAAAATATGGATTTTGAACGCTTCAACAGCAACTTCAGGCGACGAAAACCTTTGATTTAGTCGCATATTTTTCTTGATGTGCGGGAATAAAAAGAAGTCATTGGGTGCCAAGTCAGGACTGTACGGCGGATGACTCAACAATTCGACGTTTTGGACGGTCAAAAAGGCGCTGGTTTGAGCCGATGTGTGAGAGCTCGCGTTGTCATGGTGAACACTGATTCGTCTTCTCTTGTTCGTTTTTCGAATTTCTCTGAAGACTTTAGGCAAACAAATTGTGGTGTACCACTCAGAAGTGACCGAAACAGGCGACCATTTGCTTCGAAGTGCTTCTTTCACGAACAACTTTCGTTGGATTTGGCTCGTCTTCGAAAACCGATTGTTGTCGATTGTTGTTTTGTTTCGGGTTCATACGTATAGAGGTGTTTTACTGGAGGTGTATTACATAGAGTTCAGTTTTTCAATACATGGAGTTCATGAAAAAAAGCTTAATGTCTATAAAATTTATTACAACCCACATATATAATATATTACAATACAAAAATGAAATGTTTTCTATTGCCGATAGAATAAATGTGCATACACAAATAAAGACTAAAATATTCCCATTTGAGCAATTTCATTAATATTTTATGCAAATTTTCAAACAATAAAATATGTGTCCACAATTTTTTTAAAAAGAAATAAATATATTTTTTCGTCTTACACGATTTTCAATGTTTTTCAATATGTCGGTTGACTAAAGGAAAACAACATGCAATTCGTCGGTCGTTCCAATAATTAATGTGAGGGATAGAAAATTATTGCTAGTGTTGGAAAGAAAACATT